TAATATATTTGCACTTTGTAAACTATAATAGACCAATAACGTAATAAAAGTCTTGAACCGACAACGTAACATATTTTGGCCAATAACATAATAAGTTATCACGTTATTGGCCTGGTAAAAAAAAAAAATCCAAAAGTTATTACGTAAGGTCTTTTATTACGTTATTGGTCAGTTATTACGTCATTGGCCTATTACATTTTAAAAATGGAAAATTTATTACATAATCGGCCGTTACTACGTTTTTGGCTTCTACAAACACCGATATCAATAACTGGAAAAAATGCCAGCCGCGATCATTGGCCTGTCCCTATTGGAAACACTTTCAATAGTTGAGCCGACCGCCGTGCCTTGTGTTCGTGGCTGCGCAGGCCTCCGGAGTTGTTCAGGAACATGACTTTGTGGGGCTGCAGGGCTCGGCAAATGGCCGCCGTCACCTCGGTCTGGTCCAGCGTTACCGAGCAACCGCGTTCGTTCCTTCCCACCGGACAGACCAACGGGATTGTCCCGCAGTCGAGACTCCACTGTAGGAGGCTGGTGTCCACTGCGATGGAGGGTGGAGCGCTGCAAGGAGAGGAGACGGAGGAGGATGAAGACGAGGTCCGAAGGGTGCCGGAGGAGAGGAAATGAAGAGGGAGGAAAGCATCGAATCAAGTGTCATGTTTGGAAAGAAATAGCTGAGATAGACGTGTCAAAGCAGAAGTCAGTTTACAGGGATTTGACTCCTGCTGACCTTTATGTCCGAGGAAAAGTTATGACTGACAAATAAAAGAATTTATAATCAATGAAACCGTAAAAAGCACCTCTTTTAAGACATTTCACCTCACGTCCAGCACTTTTTTTTTTTTTTACTGAAGCTCCGAGGAACACCATTAGCTGTACAACTGAGAATCAATGAAGCACACTTAAGATCAGCTGAATACACTCAGAGGTTTCGCTGCTAAAGTCTCACTTCATTTGATGTGATCATTAGCTTACGACGGCTAATGCTATTGCTTTTTCACACTCATCTGCTGTTTTAGCACGTCACAAATGAACATTAAAGAGAAACTTAAGTATATAACCTGTGCTATTTAGTAAAACTCACTTTAAGGCTTTAGAGAGAGATCATAGCAAATACTTCCAAACATCACAAGAAACCAGTGATAGACGAAACAAGGTGCATTTTGGTCGTCACTCTGAGGTCTGAGCCGGTTTCCCAGCATGCCTCGACCCTCACCTGCTCCCTCGCGGCGCTTCGTGCAGCAGGAGGAAGGACTCCGCCGAGAAGAACGGCAGGACGGTGGCCGAGGCCTGCTGCAGAGCCTGGGTCAGCTGCTGGCAGCGCTCCACCAGCTGCCGGCCGCACCGAGACCCGGCCTCCGGTCCGGCGGTCCCCGTCTCCCGGTGCTCAGATTGGCCCACGACAACCACAGGCTTCATATCCATCCGCTGCAGGAAGGAGAGCCCGAAGGCCAGGCTGTGAACCATTTCCCTGCTGTCGAACGCTGAGCTGTCCACCTTAGAAAACCACAAAGTGTTAGTTAGCGCAGCACTGAGGTCAAGTTCAGTTCCCTCAGATTGTCTTCTTCAGGTGTGTGATATTGAAACTGAGCCAAAATGGCATCACGTTACCGGTTCCTGTCAGGGAATCTGGTAAAGAGTGTGTGCAAAAAAACAAAACAAAAAAAAAATACTTTTTTGAAATGGAGCTGTCAGATCTCTTAGGTTAAAGTTGGTAGGTTGTTTTTTTTTTTATGTTGTTAAATATAAATTTAAGTAAAGCATGCAACATTAAATAAGATCATTTGAGCTGCTGGGACTTTGAGAAACATTCATGTTGGAGGAAGTCCATTTTTTACACTTAAGAAGTCAACATAGGACATACTTCAATTTAATTTGTCATTTTTCTTAATGATTAAATTATGAGAAAATTCTGACTTATTATGATTTTGACAAAATAAACTTTTTTTTTGGCAGAAAGGTTCAAAATGCTGAAACACATAAAGCATCACACACACACTCAACCTGCTGCCACAAGTTTCATCATCCAGCAAGTTTCTAAAACTTTTTTTTTTTTTTTAACTTAATAAAAGTTTACCTCCAGCACAGCAAAGGCAGGACACTGGGCCGAAGTCGCTCTCTGGAACTGGGTCAGCCAGTACCGAGCCTCCCGGGGGTCCCCACCGACCTCGTTGAGAAACGCCTTCACATCCCGGTAAATCAGACTCCGGTTCGCCAGCACATGTCGGTCCGCGGCGGAGAAGCAGCCCGGGTGCTCCAGCTGGGCCAAAGCCGCGGGTTTTCCTGCCGTGCCTGCCGCGTCAGAGCTCACCATTCGGCGCTGCGGGTTGAACATCTTCCGCTGCTGCCGGCCGGAGCTCCGGGTCAGCGCCGGAGGAGAGGGGCTCGACAGGTACTTTCCTGCCATCACCACGGCCCGACAGCCGGAGGAACCGCTGTTCACTTTGGACATGCTGCAGGCGGCAAGAGTTGTTGGGGGGCTGTGAGCCGGAGCTGCGCGGCTCCGGCACCAAAGTCTCGGCCGAGTAGCAGCAGCTGTGAGGGGCTCCGCTGGTCACCGCGCCGCTGCTGCTGCTGCTGCGTTAGCACTTCTCAGGTTTCATCAGACGACCAACTGCGCTCAGCAAAACTAAATAAACAAACAAATAAATGAATGAATAAATAAACAGGCCAAGTTTTGTTTTTGTTTGTTTTGTTTTGTTTTGTTTTTTTAAAGAGAAAAATGGGATTGCAATTTGTTACGTTTTCTTTTTAATGGTAATTTTAAAAAAAGAAAAGAAAAGAAAAGAAAAAACGGCCCATTTTATCGTTGTTGGTTTAAAATAGGACAAATTATTATTTTTGGTGTTTTTGTAGGTGGCAGTGGTTTTAAATATAAAAACAAATGTAAGAGTTTTTTTGGGGTGTGTTGGCTAAAATAGAAAAAACAAAAATGGGTCTTTTTGTTTGGGTTATTTTTGTTCGTTTTAACAATAAAAACAAAAAAAAATTTCAGGTTTCTTTCTTTTTTCTCTCTTTTTGTGTTTTTGTTGGTGTAAAATAGAAAAAAACAATAATGTGTCATTTTGTGTTTGTTAGAAAAAGGGTGAAACAAAATAAAGGATTAAAAATTCTTTGGTTATTGGTTTAAAATGGAAAAACATTCAGGAGCATTTATACGCTCAAAATGTCCACTTAGTTTTTTTTTAGTTGAAGCTTCAGATTAAATTGTAAATAACAAAACTAAAAAACTTTTGGTCTTGGTTTCAGCACTGGTTTTAATCTGTTCTTAGTGGCACAGTTTCATCAGAGAGGATTGCTTCGCCTTTAATCGATAAAAATCCATTTGCAGATATGTTTTTTTTGGTAATGAAATTTCTGTTTACTTTTTGCCTGACTCACAAATAAACTGATCTATGAGCAAACAAGAGGAGAGCTACCAGGAGGATGAACTAAAGGAGGCAAATCAGAGAGCTGGGAGAAGAGAGGCAAAGGAGATGCTGATGGATAAAGAGAAGTCCTCGATCCATCAGGAGGCTGAGCTAAATGAGGAGATCAGCAGAACAATCAGCTTCAGGAACACTGAGATGAGCTTTTTTTCAGATGACTCATTGTAGAAAGAGCAGAACTCCTGGAGCTGGACTCTCGGGGTATAAGACAACATCCAGGGTGGTTTATCTGCAAACCAGAGCACCTTTAACCACATAGTAACCTGTAAAATGAGCTTACAGTTGTATTATTGCTGCTTTCCAATAACACCCCACAGCATAGTTGTGGAAACTTTAGGTGCTTTTCATGTTAAGATTTTCTTTCCGTCGTGCAACACCATCAAAGAAACTGGTCCTGTACCCTTGATTCTGGAGCAAGACGATGAGCCCAAATAAACAGCTGCAGACATAAAGAACTAACTTCAGTGATAAAATCTTTACATCCGTCTGGGTTTATACGAGGTGTGTCAGAGAAGTTCCAGGACTGGTGTCACAAAAGATCCAACTACAAACTACCAGTTTTCCCCTTCAGACCATCAACCAGCACATCTACAAAGAGATCCGTTTGTTTCGTTCAGTGCACAAGAAGAGGCGAGAGTTGTGGCAGGCCCTGAGCATCCGACAGTTCCTGGCTGAGAAGAACATCTCCGTGCTGGAGCAACCTCAATACTCACCCCACCTGGTTCTGTGGGGATTGTTTCTTCTTCCCCAAGCACAAGGGGGTCATCAAGGGGACCTGTTTTGAAGACGTGGACGACATCAAGATGGCTGTGATGACGGAGCTGAGGAGGAATCCTTCCAGGAGTGCATGGCGGCGTGGCAGAGAAGGCTGGGGAAGTGTGTTAGACTCCAGGGGGATTACTTTGAAGGGGTAGTTTGTAGTTTGGATTTGAAATATATCTTTTGTGACACCAGTCCTGGAACTTTTCTAACACACCTTGTATCAGTAGATACAAGACTGCATCAGAAGAACTGTGGCGAGTTCTCCGAGATGTTTCGAAACGACAAACCTTCCGAATACCTTCAAAGTGTGAGTGTATGAAAGCAGAGAGTGCTCCCCCCAGCACTCTGTCCTTAACAATTAAATCTATGCAGCTCCGGTCTACCAGCTCTTCCACTGGCTTTCTCTGACCCTGGTGTCTATTTTTGGCCACAACACTTTCCAAACCACTCTCTGACTTAAACATCTAACTCAGGCTCTGCTCTGCTTCTTGGTGGACCCAGACATCTCCAGGTCCTGGTAGAGATTGCTGGCGTTTTCTGTGGCTCTGGGTGCTTTCCTTGTGCCCAAAAGATCTCTTTAGATCCGGACCGCTAAATGTAGGAATCGCCCTGGTTCGCTCTGGTCTTAGAATTCAATCAACCAAAGGGGTTTTGCTGCCTCTGCTGGTTTTAGGGGCTGGTTCTCAGTCATTTTAACACTAGGTCTCTCTATTCATCCCAGACCTTGCTGTGGTTCTCACCAAGCGTCTCACAGGTCTTCATTTTCCATCACAAGAGTTTTCCTCACTCTCGTTGGCCATTAATTCTTCTTAAAGTCCTGTCTTCTACCAGACATGCTTCTATCAGATGGCGTCTGGCAGCGTTTATGTTGGTCTTATGTTGTCTTTTTTAGGGGAAATGACGTGCATGTACACAAACGAGCTGCATATACATGAATATGTTGCATAAACAGAAAGGAAAACGCTGCATATCCAGTCACACAAGTGCCCCAGGCCTCTAGGGGCAGTTTTTAAGTCCTTAACTCTTCCGTCACTGTGATTCTACGGGTGCTGAAGTGATGTTTTACTACTGTCTCCCTGTGTTACCCTCTCGGTAATTTATGTTTATCCATGGAGACGAGAGAATAAAAACCTTGTCTGCCTCTCAGGTGAATAGCTCACTACTGCCCCTAGAGGCCTGGAGCACTTCCGTTGTGTGATATGCAGCGTTTTCCTTTTGCAGCACGTTTTCTGTTTATGCAACACATTCATGTATATGCAGCTCGTTTGTGTACATGCACGTCATTTACCACCGTAAAAAAGTGGCGTCTCCACTTGATGCCATCACAGACCGACATAAACGCTGCCAGACACCAGCTGATAGAATCATATCTGATACAAATCGTGGTGGTAACAAATGAGGACTTTAAGAAGAATTCATGGCCAACGAGAGTGACGAAAACCACAGCAAGGTCTGGGATGGATAGAGAGATCTAGTGCAGCTTTTGGTGAATGGTAAATGGTCTGCANGACTGTGAAGGGCAGCACATACAGAAGAAGACCTGGATACTGACGTGACTTGAAAATATATTTATTAAATTAATGAAAAATAAATTACATGAATGATTCTCAGACAGATGAAAGCTTCTCAAGGAACAATATACTCATATCAAAGGTGTTCTCATAGAGATCGTATTGGTAGAACAGGCCACTTTCTGAAAATGTGTATTCTGGAAAAAAACAAAAAAAATTAAAGGATTGTTCCACAGCAAAGAATTAATTTATTCTCTTGAGCTCAATAAATTCCAAATCCTCACCTCCCAACTCAGTCCAATGCTTTAAACATTAACCCCCTCAACACAGTATACAGAATAAACATTAAATTGATAGATGCAAATGTAAAAATACCTTTTATTTTTAAATATAGTGAGACATTAATGTCTTTAAATACCCACACAATGAAAATTCAGCAACTCAGTTTAAACAATTATGTGCACCACTGAAATATATTTACAAATTTTTCTTCAAACACAACTTTTAAAGCTATTTTGACCAACGGCCACTACAAGGAGAACTCATTTTCTCAATAATTATATATTGATCATTGATATTATTATACACGTGTGAGAAGATGTCAAATATCTACAAATAGCCGCTGCAGCTTTTATTAGTCTGGAGTTCGAAGTATTCAAATTAAAACATGGCTATGTCAGAATTTCTTTGCTCAGTTTAGGCAAGCTATTTGGTAATATATTTAGGAGAAACTATATTTGTTTTAATTAAGATAGTAATTAGTAATAGTAACAAAAAGACAAATTTTTCTTCATGTATTTTGTGGTCCTCAAAAACATTTTTTGTCATCATATGACTACAAACACGAGTCTTTAACAGCTAAACCTACATCATTCACACTTCAAACATGTAGTCACTTTAATTACATATTAAAATATATGCGTTTTTATATTTTAAATTGTACATTTTCATTCCCTTCAGAGCAGCCCCCGATCTTGTAGTGAAAACACAAATGTCCTTTTATTCCCCTGTTGACCACTCACCCTTTCATTGTGCAGAGAATTAGAGTATTATACTAATAGAACCTTCAAACATGTAGACAAAGAAAACTACCATTTCCATTTTCAAATTTCCCCTTTAGGTAGCATGTCCTGTTTTCATTAGCTTAAGCTATAACGGTGGATAAAGA